AGGTTGGGTGTGTGGGGGGGGGGGGGGGGGGGGGGGGGGTTCTATTGTACTGTTTCTATTGTATTTAAAAAAAATCTAAAATACAATATAAACAGTAATATTATGAAATATTGTTACAATTAATAATATAAGTAAATAAATAAGTAACTGTATAAAAATTTTTTTTTATTTTTTTTTACTCAAACCTAATTTTGAATGGTTGTGTATGTATACAAATGGCTGGGAAATCTGGATTGTAAGTGTTTTGTGAAAGCAAATTTTATTTATGTTTATGTTGTGATTGTGTTGTTTGTCTTTGTCTGTAGAGTTTCCAGTCTTTCTCTGTTCCTCCCGAATCTACAGATGTACCCATCACTCCCTCTTCTCCACTTTCCTTTGATTATGTAGCAAAATCTGTCTCCCTGCTTAAAGAAACTTGAGGATTTCTGCAAACAGGAGGTAGCGAGGATATCTGCTAGAGGTGAAGTGCTTGCAGTTACAGTAATTTATGTTCAAATATTAGACTGCATCATGTAACATGTAGATGTAATTGCAGAAAATCATCAAACTTTAAATCTCTGGTGGTTTTCATAGTGTCAAACATCCAGATCATTCCCACCCCAGACCCCAAGACAAGGGATGAGTTCTTACAATCTAAGTACACATGATCCTCTCAGTAATCTGAAGCTGTCCGATTCTGTTGTCTGTTAGGAATGGCTGCTTGATCATACTCTTCAGGTGTTGTGTAGAGAGAGAGTGTGTGTGGACACTGCTACTGAGTGGTCATGGTGTCACTATATCAGTATTATATAAGAGCATTGGAAGAAAGGAAAAAGCGTGTGTTTGGATACAATCGTCAGTCATGGAGTTTGTTCTGTAGTCTGTCCAGTTGCTCATTTAAAAAAAACAAACTCCCTATACCACCCAGCTGCTCTAGAATAGGACTGCATGTGGATTACAGTGCAGGAATTCTGTCCTTCTACAGCGTCTCTGACACAATGACTCTAAGCCACAGAGTTCAGGCTACATTCAGCTCCTCTATCTTGGGTTTTTACTTTCTTTTGGATCAACTGTAAAACTGCTCTTGTGAAAAGTGTACTTTTAAACAGAGTACTGTGCATAATATACAAAATAATGTTTATTCAAAGTTGATATATCATAGTTTATAGTACATACTTTGTTTAACAATGCAATTCTAAAACCTAATCAACTATACTTAAAATGTATTTCTATTAATCTTGAATATGTTGCATATATTCTTCAGTTATACTTATTGGCAATTCTATATCAATACACAAGTATTAGCTGAAAAAGTATTGTATAAAAATGGTTAAGTGGTTTGGTAAATCAAGTCTGATCCTTTGAAAATAAATTAAAAGTGTGTGTGCCTGTGCGTCTTTAATATGGATCATTATATTGGAATAATATGCTGTGCATATATTGCTTGATTGTTTACTTTGTCAGAAGATCTGAAAAAATTGATTTGGCAAAAGGGTATTAAACATAGTTGAGAGTATCTGTTATTAACAGTACACTGTTATTGCTGGTTTGAAAAATATATTAAATTAGGCAACATATGCAATTAATGAATGGGCAGAGGACAAACGTTTTATTTTTATAATACTTTTTGAATGTGTAGTGCTATACTTTAGTGATTCTTCTTTTTAAATGCTAAATGTAATTTAATTTTGAATGACTCTTTCATGCATATTCAATTATATATATATATATATATATATATATATATATATATATATATATAATGTTTATTTTGACATTGTAAGTATTAATTTTAAAACTCTCATTTTGATCTGCCTCCATCCAATCAACAACCAATGGGTAAAACCAAGTCCCCGTCCTGCTTTTTTCTTTTTCTTTTTCCCAATAATCTGCTTTACTTGGATGTACGTCACAATATGGAAGAAAAGATCTGTCACTACGTCCATTGCATCACAATTTAAAGACATCATCCATTTCAAACATATGGGTGTTTAAAACTCCTGGCAATCATAGTTTATTTGTCTTTGTTTTTGAAAATATATGACAAGAGGTAGGATTATGGAGAGGCTATGAAAAATAATAGTAATAAAAAAATATTACATGTACAAACTTGAAAAACATAACTCCGTTTACCTAGTGTTAATGAATCAAATCAAATTCCAAATTAAAATGATACATAATTCATTTATTATGAATATACTTAATTTCATTTCATCCTAATTTTCAAATGAATGAATCATATATGAGTTTTTCATATAAATCAATGTCTTACACTAAAAAAAATCGTATATGATTTAAATAAACAAAAAACGTAACATTAAAGTAAAATATCAATTGAAACAAGGAAAAATCTGTAAAATAAATATGTATTACTACATTTTTCTGTAAAACCTTTAATGAAAATTTCTGTAAAATTACTGTTTTTGCACTTTATTTTAATTAAGATATTTTACTTTAATTTTACGTTTTTTGTTTGGCAGCCGTAGCTGCCAGTCATTTACGATTTTTTTTTTGCAGTGTAACCGGTTGGCTAGAACATTTAAATAAATGTTATAAAAACATAAAATTGATCATATAATCCATATAAACTGTAAATGTGTTTTAACTCTGCCCCCTAGACACAGTATATTGTCCATTCATAGTTTTTCACCAAAGGCACTTTTGCAGTAACTGGCCTCAGCACTGTAACAGTACTCTGCTCTACAACTCTCACAACCACAGTAAGTTCATTAGAATGAAAACACGGTTCATTCTTTTGAAAATTCACAGCTTTTCTTTTGGTCTTTGATGTCAGTAAAATTCAATCAGGTATTCCGGATAGATCTGGTTGCTGTCGAATATAACAAAGATCTTCGGGCTCATCATGTCATCCACACAGCTGTCGAAAAAGTTGCCAATGCTCATGTCTTTGGAAGGCGGTCTGCAGTACTGGGGGTGACCCAGTGTATATTCCCCAACTAGAACCCGTGCCAGGAACATGCACATGTACGGTGGGTCACTCTGGAAAACAGGGGGCACTAGACCATGTCTCTGTAGGATAAAGTTGTGCTTGCTAGTTGAATGACAAAACTTGCTTGAATACCTCGCATCACGTGCAAAATAGCTTCCTGTAAATACATAAATTGTATTTATATAATATAAAATGATTCTATAATTACTAATCAAAATTTAATCAAATCAGTATTGATATGCTTACAATAACCCTAATGGCAAAAAAGGCAACTGCAAAGTTTTATTTCAATAAGAAAGACAAATTCCATTACATTAGAAAAACAAAATCATTCTTTGGTATATTATGTATAATTTTGATATATATTATTACATTTAAAAAAAAAATAAAAAAAATAAATGAAAGTCAATGATGAGCTAAAAAGTAAAAAATAATAGAGATAAGACAATTATGACTTTCTATATTTGACTTTCTATACTATCATATTTGGAATTATAATATAACCAATTATGACAAAGTTATCTCAATCAAATTTTATCTAATAATTAGAGATAAAAAGTTGGAATTATGAGAAACTAAGTCATAAGGAAGTTTGACGTAAAAGATCAAAATTTTAAAATAAAGATATATTTATTTTTAACAAAAAAATTTTAATTATGAGATTAAAAAAAAAGCACATTTATGACACTAAGTTTGACTTTTGTCATAATTACAACTTTTTCTCTTATAATTTCGACATGGCATTTCATAATGTCTTTTATGTCATAATTTCTAGTTAGTATCCCAAAATGCATGATATTTTTGTCATAATTATGATTTGCCAAAGCATGATTTTATTAATTTTTTTCTTGTATGGCAGAAATGGGCTTCTATAAGCATGTCTCCTTTTGTGTTCAATGGAATACAGAAGTCATACAGGCTTGGACTGATAGGAAGATGCGTAAATTATGAGACCCTTTTCATTTTTAGATAAATTATCATTTTTAATGCAGAAATAATTATGAACTATACCTTTGCCATAGACGTCGCCATGGCTTCCTGTGAGACGCCAATCAAAGTTGTATGTGCATATGGCCTGTATGTTGCTGTGACCAGTTCCATGAAACAGCATCTTTTCTTCAACGTCTAAAACACGTTTTATCTTTCTCAACTGGGCCTTTTTCCTGTAACACATTAACATGTATTCATATATTTTTATTTAAAATTGTATGACTGAATTCTGTCATAACTGAAATGTTAAAAAAAAAAAATTACATAAAAATTAAACAATTATAATAATATATTTGCTAAGAAGCCTTGTATAAGCGTGATAATATACAGCCAGACAGACATTATTGCACAAAAAAAAAAAATATATATATATATATGATTTTAAATATTGCAAAAATGAACCAACCTGCAGAAAAATTCCCACAGGTCCAGGTTCTGTACTCTTTGAATGGATCTGATGGGCTGGCTCATGGTTCTCTCATATAACCGGGCCACTTCTTTGTACTCAAACGTATCGCTGCATATAGCAATTAGCTGGACAGAAACAGTCAGAGTCCCACAGTCAAAAGTCATTCTGTGTCATTAAAAGTAATCATTAATTTAACTTTCTCTTTGTATACCTGATAGTAGGGCTGTGTATCGGCAATAATCTAGCGATACAATACGTATCACGATACAGGGGTTGCAATACGATATGTTGCGATACTGTAAGCAAGGCGATATATTGGGATATTTCTTATATTACGAATAGGATCATTTTAGGAAAGCTGTCATTAAGAACACTTCAACATATGCAAACCTTAAAAAAAAAGTTATTTAACCAGAACACAGTGGGATCTGGATTTGCATTAATTAGTCCCGGTAACATTCAATGTCACTGAACACTTTTTGTGCAGTAATTAGTAAAGGGGGGAAATAAAGTGCTTGCAGGACTCTTTAGTTAAATTAAATGTATAAAATGTAAGCTGTTATAAACCATATATAATTTTTAGACCCTGCTTTAAAGGTTCACTGTTTAAGTTAAACATTGTAAAATACAATGCCATAACATATTTAATTTTCATACCTAATATACATGTTTTACAGTCACTGTTCAGCATATTTATCATAAACACAGCTAAAAAGCTTCCTACCAGTGGCCATCCTTCACAAAACTTAACATCTAGAACAAGTTTTATCATAGGTAGAATGCAAAATGTTTCAAATTTTAGGAAAGCTGTCATTAAGAACACTTCAACATATGCAAACCTTAAAAAAAAAAGTTATTTAACCAGAACACAGTGGGATCTGGATTTGCATTAATTAGTCCCGGTAACATTCAATGTCACTGAACACTTTTTGTGCAGTATGAGTAAAGGGGGGAAATAAAGTGCTTGCAGGACTCTTTAGTTAAATTAAATGTATAAAATGTAAGCTGTTATAAACCATATATAATTTTTAGACCCTGCTTTAAAGGTTAACTGTTTAAGTTAAACATTGTAAAATACAATGCCATAACATATTTAATTTTCATACCTAATATACATGTTTTACAGTCACTGTTCAGCATATTTATCATAAACACAGCTAAAAAGCTTCCTACCAGTGGCCATCCTTCACAAAACTTAACATCTAGAACAAGTTTTATCATAGGTAGAATGCAAAATGTTTCAATACAAGCATTTCAGTCAAATGTTATTTATGCAACATTTCAAACCTTTAGCACACGGGGGAAAATCAAGCCATGGCAACAGTTTAAAAGTAGCCCAATTCCATCGAGAGAAAAAAAAAGAGAAAAAAAAAACGCGACTTGACAACTCTGCATCCAACACGAGCTGCAGGAGTCAGATTTGACTGATCACGGGTTGAGAGGAGAGATGGCTGACAAGATCATGCTGGAGGATTTGCTGCTCAACAGATCCTGAGCTCATTGACAGATATCTGATCTTCCTTTAGGGGGAAGTCGTGGCCTAATGGTTAGAGAGTCGGACTCGTAACCCAAAGGTTGTGGGTTCGAGTCTTGTACCGGCAGTGATTGTAGGTGAGGGGAGTGAATGTACAGCGCTCTCTCCCACCTTCAATACCATGACTGAGGTGCCCTTGAGCAAGACACCAAACCCCCAACTGCTTCCCGGGCGCCACAGCATAAATGGCTGCCCACTGCTCCGGGTGTGTGTTCACTGCTGTGTGTGTGTGCACTTAGGATGGGTTAAATGCAGAGCACAAATTACAAGTATGGGCGGGACTGGACACAGTCTTCTTCAGAGCTCTAATACAAAAATGCACACAATGATTGACGGCTGTAGAAAACAAAAGCTGAATCCCCGACATTTTGGGCGATTTAGACGCATTTTTCAAGGTCCAAAAAGAGGACATGTCCAGGAAAAAGAGGACGTATAGTCACCCTACTTTAGCGAAGCCGTAATGCACTGCAAATGTGTGTGTTCTTTGAATATTTGACTCTGGCATTGTACATTTTACACACCGCATGACTTTTGTCGGGATATAAACTCAAAACGAAACAACTGCCATGAATTTTTTAAAATATAAATATCGATATTGTATTTTTGAGAATCGATACAGTATCGCCAAACAAAATATAGCGATCCTCAAGTGTATCAATATTTTCTTACGCCTACCTGATAGGGTTCCTCCGTATTAACTCTTTCCCAGTTACTGGGTACAGGAAGGGCTGGGTTATCACAGATAAATCTATGAAACACAAAATTTAAAAAGACATTTTTAGATAATGATTTAATTTAAAATAACAAATAATACAAAAGTACAATACCAATTTAACAAATAAAAATAAATATAAAAGCTGGATAAATGAGCTCACCTAAAGTCAGTAGCTGAATGCAACGCCCTTTTAATTGGCCTTTCTTTTCCAGTAGTCACATTGACTTGTTTCATATCTAGTCATATGATATAGTTGAAAAGATGAAAAGAGAAATGACAGATGCATATCACACCCCCTCCAAGCCATTTATGACCACAAATCTAAATAAATAACACAAATGTGTGCTTTGTTTGGTAACCGACCAGAAAAGTCTAATTTATAGGTATATTTAGCAGTATAGAAGTCCATTGAAGCATGCTGATTCTTGATGTAGTTTTGTTCAATTTGCTCATTGGTAACAGAACAACCTGTGCTGGGAACTTCCTGTAGTGAAAAGGAAAACAGCATGATGTGATCAGCAAAAAGCCAATTATGAATTGCCATTCATATTAGTCTAATCTATTGGTGCCCAAACTCGGTCCCGGAGGGCCGGTGTCCTGCAGAGTTTAGCTCCAACCTCAATTAAACACTCCTGAACCAGCTAATCAAGCTCTTAATAGGCATACTAGAAACTTGAAGGCAGGTGTGCTGTGGCAAGTTGGAGCTAAACTCTGCAGGACACCGGCCCTCCAGGACCGAGTTTGGGCACCCCTGATAAAAGGCAGTACATACTTCAAACATATGCCAGACGCCACACTCGGCAAGGTAGAACCAGCGCCACTTTGCCTCTGATATGTCCATTTCCTCCTCGCATGACCCTTCATCAGTGGGCTTCTGGAGGTCTTCTGAGCTCTCCAAATGCTTGCTTGTGGTCTTACAGTCCATCCTCAAAGCAAATACACACATATGACCATCTAGCCACCTTTTAAGTGCATGAAGTACATGCTTTCATCAATAACTAGCCTCCGTCAATCATTGTTATGATTTGATTCCACAATTCGCGATCTCATTCAAGATTCTCTTTACTAAACCATGCTGAAATGATCATAGTCTTTTTTTATTTATGTTGATTTGGACGTAAACGTCACACAATCTATCGTTTTAAACTATTTTAAACGTTCATACTTTCTCAAGCCAGCATCAGATTGTTTACAAACTTTACTCATCTAACGTTAGTTCATTTACTTTGCTTTGATCGGTCGTCGCGATCTCATTCATGAAAGACATTTGTTCAACAAACATGTGGAATTATCAAATGCACTGTTTAATTTAGATTATGGTTTAGCATTTCGCCGTATTAATGTATTGTGAATACCTTTCGAAAAAGCTTTTTTTCCTCTTTATGTTATAAATGACGTTGAATTCATCTACATTGGAGGAAGCATAGGTGCTGTCTGCATACTGTTTGTTTCGTTTTTCTCAATATCTCTCTGCTTGAGGTTGTTGTTCGCTCTACTTCCGCATTCGCCAACAATGACGTCATGCGTCGGTCAACTAAGAACTTGTACTTATTTATTTTTATTTAGTCATTTAGCAGACGCTTTTATCCAAAGCGACTTACAAATGAGGTCAATAAAAGCAGTCAAAACTAACAAAAGAGCAACAATATATAAGTGCAAATGACAAGTCTCGGTTAGCCTAAAGCAGTACACGTAGCAAGGTGTGTATATATATATATATATATATATATATATATATATATATAAATAAATTCAAAAATAATACCTAACCAAAAACAGAAGGAGATACACCTTTGCATCTGGAAGAGATATTCTGAAGTGGAGATAAAGTATTTTAGCACTGAGGTAGATGTTCAGCCAAACAAATAAATGTTACACTATTATCTAACTCTTTATTATCAGATTCATCATTAGACAAGCAAATAAATAAATAAACACATAAATTGAACGCTTTATTATTTTAGAACTATTAATACTTAATTAATAGTATACTTAATTTACTTCAGCCATTTAAGATATTTAGGTAGCCACTAGGCTAGAGTTAGTTTACATAACGTGAAATCAAGAGCGACCATGGGATCCCACTTAATTACAACGTAGAAAATAGTTTTGTCGCAGACTATAATAACGTTAATTTTAGTATTGCGACTTTGATTAAGAGGTCATTTGAATTTTCTCATGCATGATGCTTTGCATGTTTGAGTATCTTTCCAGTTTTTGAATGCGCTATTCCTCAATCCAACGGTAGATGTCAGACGTAAACATCACATAATTCAGCGTTCGTCCATATCTATCCATCCATCCATGGCTTTACAATAAAAAATAAATAAGGAAACAAAATTTAAATTGATTACAATTGAAAATATAATGCACAAACTATTTTGTCCAATCCAATGAACACTGTAAGTCTATTAATTACTGTATATTATTAAAATAATAGTAATAACATTTTATAGTATGTACAGTGAACACAAACGCTTGTATAAAACGAGAAAAATAAGCAGTTCAGTCTTTGCACATGGCGTGTAGTCCAGATTGTAGCGCTACATGACACCCCATACATCACGCCCTCTCCCACTCACCGCGATCTGCTCACTCGAGAACACTGCACTCTGCTCTGACACTCTACGCATGCATGTGAGGGAGCTGTCCACAAACTTTGGTAAGCCCGGTTTTGTTTTGTTTTTCGTCCAGATTTTAACTTATTATCCATTTTCAAACTATTTCTGGTATGTATAATTTCTCTTTGGATTATGCAGATTAAATTATTAAATCATTAACTGTTATTTCTTGACGAACAGCTTGTCTGGAGGAGACTTATACACATTTTACACTAAATGTTTAAGTTTCAAGTGTTAATTCTTTTACTGAATTCAAGCACATCTGATGCATTTATTCAACTGAAAAATATATATACTGTATATATTTGCAAAAATTTATCCACAAACGCAGACTTACTGTTCTACATGCGTATTGACTTTTAATTGGCTAATTTGTAATAAACTGACTGCTCATAGATATATAAATATAGAAAGGGACCATGGAGGGGACTAGAGGTGGAGGCATTGCTGATGGGGAAGCTATGGAGCCAGAAGGCCAGAAAGGAAGCGTGGAAAAGAGACCCGAGGCCAGAGAAAAATGGGCCAACAAGACTGAGTTCCTGCTGTCCATGGCTGGAGAGATTATCGGCCTGGGGAACGTGTGGCGCTTCCCTTACCTCTGCTACAAAAATGGAGGTGGTAAGAGAAAGTTTGTGATAGAGAGAGGGTTGAAGAAGAAGTGTAACAGAAAAAAAGAAAGGCGTTTTAAACCTCTGTGAAGAGAGATGGATTTGACCTTTAAGATTCAGCACATCAAAACTGAAGCCCATGGCTTTTAACTCAGTCAATAGTCCACTGTGTTCTTCTGCAATGCTCAGAAGCCATTTTTGTTACAAATCATGGCTCTCTTTCCCCAAGTACATGCTGACATGACCTTTTTTTTTTGCTCATACTTGGGTTTAGGGGTTTATTCAAATCACCATGCCAATAAATTAAACTTTGGCAGAGAACTCATCTCACCCATGTGTGCTTTAACTATTATTATTATATTTGTCGTTTTTTATTTCTTTTTTAGCCACTATTATCTAAGCGTCTCTCAGCTAAATCATAAAAATAATATTATAATTTTTTTTAAAATAAGCACAAGTTATATTTGTTTAAAAAATGACTCATTTAGATCAAAAAGGTTTTTAAGTCATGGTGTTTACTACCGTTTACCCTCAAGCTCCTTATTCAAATGTGATCAAGAGAAGCTATGGTATAACAGTGCTTATTTAATGATATGTTATTGCTATGTTCTGTTACAGCCCTTAAAGGTAATGGAAACAAGATTTTCACCCTAGATTATGACTAATAACTAAAAAATGTCTGTAATGGTCTCCCTAGGTGTTTTCTTCATCCCTTATTTCATCTTCCTTTTCTTTTGTGGAATCCCAATATTCTTCCTTGAGACGGCGTTAGGTCAATACACTAGTGAAGGGGGCATCACTGCTTGGAGAAAAATCTGCCCCATGTTTGAAGGTGACTTATGCTTTCATAAATGGATCTACAATGAAAATGAAGTCCATGTATTGAATTGCTGGAATTAAATGTACTGTAATATCATAGCCGATTGTTGAAGACAGTGTGTATTTAAAAAAAAAAAATATTTTACACATTTGGCATTTCTCTCACTGTTTAGTTTTTGTTCACAGGTGTAGGTGTTGCCTCCCAAGTTATAGTGATTTATCTGAATATATATTACATTGTGGTCCTGGCCTGGGCTCTGTTTTATCTATTCAACTCTTTCTGGAGTACTCTGCCTTGGACTTCCTGTGACAATTATTGGAACACAGGTGTGGTTTATTGTACCATGTAATGTATTTATAAACACTATTCATAAAGGCTTAAGACACTGAATAACTGTCGGGCAATTTCAGACTTGCCCAGTGGCACAAACATTGCAGCTTTGAATTTTAACAATACCAATAATGGTTTCTTGCTTAGACAAGCAGCACTAATGCTATTGTACACACTTAGAGATTTTTCAAACTTTTGGTTTGTAGCTCATCTTCATTGTGTGGTTTGTTGAGGAGAATTAGTACTTTTCTAAATGATCACTTTTATATGAAAGACTGTTTCTGCATTAGCATAAAAATAAAATAGTTCATCTTGAGATAAAGTTCAAATTAAGAAATGCATTCAGATTGGGAGATACTGTCTAATGTAAGACTTAAAATGATTTGATAGTTGCAATTATGAGATATGAAGTCACATTGTAAGATATAAAGTCACATTTCAAAAAATAAAGTTGGAATTGTGAGATACATTGTGATTTGTGAGATATGGAAATTGTGAGATAAAGTCACAATTACAAGAAATAACGTTTCAGGTACAATAAGCAAAGTAAATTATGAGAAAATGTCAGAATTATAAAAGTTGCAATTACAAAAAATAGTCGCAATCATGAGAAATAAAGTTGCAATTGTGAGATAAAAGTTGCAGTTACAAGAAATAAAGTTGCAAAGAGAAATAAAGCCACAATTACAAGAAATTAAGTCAGTTTATGAGAAATACTTGCGGTTGTAAGATATACCCACAATTACAATAAATACAATTGCAACTTGAATTAAAAGTGCCATTGCAAAAAAAAAAAAAATTGCAATTGTAACAAAGTCATGACTACAAGAAATTAAGGCAAAATTACAATAAATACATTTGCAACTGTGAGATATGAAGTCACAATTACAAGAAATAAAGTCACAATTTCAAGAACTAAAGTCGCAGTTATGAGAAATAAAGTTGTAATTGTGAGATATAAAGTTACAATTACAAGGAATAAAGTAGTAATTACAACAACCATAGTAGCAATTATGAGAAGTAAAGTTGTAAATGTAAGATACAAAGTTGCAATTAGAAATGACCGAGTTTGGACACCCCTGTTCTAAACAATGGCAATGAGTTCTGTCATTATTCTCTAAAATAAAGAATTATTAATATATAACATACATATTAAAAATAATAATATTGTATATATAAACTCATCATTACTGAATTTCATCCAAGATAAATTTAGAGTTCACTTTGATCTCTCATTTTATCAACAGTTAACTGCCACAATATAAGTGTTACCTACACAGGTTTACACAGACCTGACACTGACTGGTCTTTCCTCTACAATGAAACGGATAAACATGACAACTACAGCATGAGGTAACCTCACTTAACAAAAGTACAAAATCAAAACACTTGTACCATCTGTTGTTCTCCCGGATGTTTACAGGGTCATGGAAGATGTTCTTTGGATTCAGGCTTTAGATGATATCAGACATATTTGTTGGAAAAGTTGCCTAAACAAAGACCCTTTTGTAATGCATTTAAAAATAATTATTTATACTCATCTAACAGGAAAACGAAAAGAACACAGACAGATGCAGGTGTATTTAAAAAAGGCCTAATAAAAAGTTTTTTTTTTTTTTTTTTTACATTTCACTGAAATCCTTTAATATATATGTTCTAAACTTATTACACAGCTCTTCATAGTATAAGCTTTGTGTTTTTCTGTCTGCTGCAGGAAGAAAACAGCTTAAAACATTATTTGCAAATCAACTAGACCATCCTAAACCAGCTAAGACAAGCAAACCATTAAGGCTGGATTAGGCTTTTTTTTTTCTTCAGCAGAGTGTTTCAAAATAGAAATAGGAAGACCAAGCTTAGTGTGTAGAACTTATCACAACACAGAAACAGCTGTTTTGTTTGAAAATAATTTCCTTGAAAAGCTCTCTATGTCTTTCTTTCATCAGTTTTCAAAATGAATCCGAATGGCCGCCTTTTAAAGTGATCTCCCCAGAACAAGACTACTGGTTGTAAGTTACATCATTTGCTACTTAAACATTTCAAATACTGTATATGCATTAGTGCCACACATTTATTTTGAGTCTCAGCAACCTATACTCAAAACTCTGTTACAATTTAAA